TCAATTTCATGGATGCAAAGCATTAATTGTGATTAACTTTTCTCATAAAAAAGTGTTGATTTACAAAAAAAAATTATATAGCAGAGCCCTCTGGATCCGCCCCTGAACACTTTACATTCTTGAATTGTTTATGATATTCTCTGAAATAAAATAAATAAAAATTTTAAACCGATAGGTCAGGTTTATTTCCATTGATTAGCAGAAGTCGCAACTACTATAATTGATTGATGTCTGTACAAATTTTCATACTGACATGTGATGCAGAAACCAAAAGCAGAGAGCATGAACGTAAAATTCCATTTTAATTTTGGTCCTTTAACTTTGACTTATTTGAATGGAAAATTTCTTCAAGATTAGGTTAATATTCCGTACACTTTTATTCACCTACTTAATGATTAAAACAGGTGGGACGATTTACCCAATTCTACCCAATACCACCTCAATATCAACACATACTACCCAATACTACAACATAATGATGCAAAATAGACATATCCTTTGATTTTTTTTAAAAAATAGAGAGTTATATCGCGGGAAATGTACTTCAAATGCGATACCGATGTCTGGCTGTTCCATTTGCTTCCCTATACCACCCCAAAAAGGCCAATAATAACACAATCTACCAAATACTCATCAAATACTACCCAATATGATCAAATAATAACATAATATTGTCAAATAACAGGACATTAGTATAATTATTGCAATGAATATTCGATACTTGGCAGAAAATTGAAATGTTTACCCATGCAGTTATCTCCCTTTAAAACCGGTAAATAGATTTTAGATTGCTACTCGATTTAATCATCTTTTTTGGCTTTGCAGTTGGTTTCCAAGACGACAAACTTAAAATAAGAAAAACAAGTATGACGATATACCATATTTTATTCTCAAAATGACCCATCAGTCTCTTACCACTTGATAGGGTCATCTGTCAAACAAGGTGGGTTTTCTTGTGTCCCCTGGTTTCATCTCACTGTTAAACACACCTTCGCGCAAGTGAGTTAATGAAATATTATTGAACTATATATTAGTCCCCAAATTACCTAGTTAGTGTCGATTGTTTGTATGTATTTTAAAATTAATGCTTTAACAAAACAATTGCATAATGTTTATATTATTTTTTCGTGTCAACTTTTAAGTTTTTGCGTATTTACTTACTGCATGATGTTTTATTTCAAAATTAACGAAATTGCACATGTTTCTTTCCAGTGTGTAATTCGCGACGCTACACTTCTCAGTGCATCAAAACTATCATTTACGGCCTGTTATGGCTCTGTCGATTTCTTTGATAATATAAAAAAAACAGAATTTGATTAGCTAATTAACAATCTTAACACCGTTGATTAATTCCACTCAGGTGGAATGTATATACGAGTAGAGCATTACACATTTGTAATAAACATGTGCAATTTTGTTAATTTTAAATTAAAACATTGTCCATTAAGTATATATGCAATAACTTAATCGTTAACATGAAAAATAAATATAAACATATGCATATGTGGGAGGAAACTGGTGACCGTGTCTATTCATTTAGGTGCTAATGACATCGGCGCGTGCTTGAATACACTATTTTGCCTATAACGTTTTTTAGGACTTTGAATTCTGTCTTATGGTTTGGATTGTTCGTACTTGGTTTTATTTTATTTTTATCGTCACCTGTGGATATATACCGTTCAATACTTAGAATTTGTTCAATAATGAAAATATTCGAAGAATCAGTGAAATTTTGACAAGGGAGGGTTTTCAAAGGCGCCTGGTTTGCAACCGGAATCATTTAAAAGACAAAGAAGACACGTTATGAAGTCATTAAAAGACAGATATAAAGATAAATTTGTGTGCTTTCCTGACATATTATACCCATACTAAAATCACCAGGATGAAGAAATAATTATTGTATAAGAAGACTTTTGAGTAGGCCACAAGACAGTTAAATGAACATTTTTAAATCAACCTCTAAAATACTCTTTCATTTGGATGTTTGGCTGTTTGTTTTATAAACTTCTTTTAAAACTCTTTTTATTTTATGTTATGTTATATATAGATATGCTTTTAATGTGTAATATTGTATGAATACACTATAGAGGGAGCATCTATAATAACCTGTTTTCCTTATTTTAACTTCGTCGTTTTGGAAACAAACTGCAAAGCCCAACAAGATGATTAATTTGAGTAGCAATCTAAAATCTATTTGTCGGTTGTAAAGGGAGATAACTGCGTAAATATTTCAATTTTCTGTAAATTATCGAATATTTGTTGCAATTATTATACTGATGTGCTGCTAATTGACGATATTAGGTTTGTTTTTTATAATATTGGGTACGATTTGGTAGTATTTGGCAGTATTGGGTTATTATTTGCTTGATTTGGGTGACATAGGGAGGCAAATGGAAGAGCCAGACATCGGTAATCACATTTGAAGTACATTTTCCACGATATATCTCACTATTTTTGAAAAAAATAAAGTAATATGCTCATTTGACACCATTATGTTGTAGTATTGGGTAGTATATGGTGATAATAGAGTGGTATTCGGGTGGTATTGGGTAGTATTGGGTAAATCATCCCACCGGATTAAAACGTCTTTGCTGAGAAATGATTGAAAAACTAAATTTTCCTACAAAATATTCCTGAAGTGTAAAATGTTCTGTAGTTAAAAGAGTGGTTGATTTTATACAGAATTTGTTATAGAAATGCCATAAGCAAGATAGTTGCTTTTATATTGTCATTGTATGTGCTCTTTAACCTGCATTTAAAGTTAACCCCTGTAAAAATCAGAAAATGAAAAGAAACAAAATTTGTAATTTAATTTGAATTAGATTGTTTTCTGATGTTGCTTTTAGTGAACATATTCTTAGATTTGAAATTAATCTCATATAATTGAAAGGTTATAGCGATTTTTATGAGACTGGAAGCGACACTTTAAGACATGGGAAGGCACAGGATTGCCGTACGGAAACCCTTGCTTTAAATCAAGGTCAACCCAATTTATATAAACAAATTTTGCAAAATATATCTACAAATTTTGCATATAGTTTGTATCATTTCAATGTCCTTGTGTTTTCCAAAATCATAGAGCATCGTGTGCTGTCTAGCATGTTTGTAGAAATACTTTTCCATTCATTGATGTTGATGATATGTAAAAAGCTTTTAATCTTACTGATCGGGGGGGTTGGATGGCTGAATGGTTAGCATGCGCGCACTGTATCATAAAGTCTGTCATTGAGTCCCCGGTTGTACATGACAAGGAGTAGGGTCGCCTGTCCAATCTCGTGGGTTTTCTCCGGGTCCTCGGGTTTCCTCCCACTGCTAAAGACCCCTACACGCAAGCGAATTATTGAAATAAAATTAAACCATATGTTAGTCCCGAATTGACCTAGTTTGTGTCGAGTGGACGTTAAACCTCATTTCTCTCTCTCTTTAATCTTACTGATCATAAAAGGAACATGAAACATAAAATGATGTCTTTTTACAAACACATATACAGGTATCAAACTAGAAAGAGTTACCCCCCTTTAATTGTGATTTTGACTGCATGAACAAATGAAATGAAATGAAATGGGGTTTAACACCCTACTGTTCTGCTCCTATGCTGGGCTAATGAAGACGGGCATGTTTTACGTGCATTCTAATGTATACACGGGACCTCGGTTTTTCGTCTCATCCGAAGGACTAGACAGCTGTCCTTGTCAGGCCCTCTGTCCTGCATCACTGACAAGGGGGAACCACGCCGGAAAATCTGAATAAACTTTCTCTGCCAATGCAGGGATTGAACACCCGTCCTCCAGGCTAGCGAGCCAGCATCTTACCCACTTAGCATGAACAAACTTAATACATTTAATTTTGCGAAATGAAATGAATGAGAGAGAGAGAGATGTGGTTTAAAGTCCACAAACTAGGTCTTTTCAGGACTAATATGGGGTTCAATTTTATTTCAGTAATTCGCTTGCGTGTAGGGGTCTTTAGCAGCAGGAGGAAACTGGAGAAAACCCACACGGTTGGATAGGCGACCCTACTCCTTGTGACGTACAACCGGGGAATCGAATGACAGACCTTATGATACAATGTGCACACACTAACCGGTTGACCACCCAACCCCCTGCAAAAGTAAATGAGATTAGAGTTTATCGTCCTACTTTTCTGCACTAACCGGGCTAAGGAAGATGGGCATACACTATGCTATGTGGGAGTTTTGTCTTGACATCTGCGCTATGGTCTACTCTTATTTCGAATTCCAACCATCAAGGGGATTCTTTTTTACGTGCAGGCCAATGTGTACACAGGATCTCAGTTTTTTTGTACCATCTGGAAACTGGTCCTTGTCAGGCCCTCCCTCCAGCACCACTGACAATGGTAAACCAGACTGGATAATCTCGGGGGAACATTCTCGTTTAACACCTGGATCAAACCCCAGATCCCCTGGTGATTAAGCCAGCGACTTACTCACTTTGCCATTGTGTATAAAACTGCTAATGAAGAGAAATTCTTGATCATTGAAAGGAGAGGAATAATTCCCCTGTAGATGTTTTGCATGGAGAAAAGAAGGCATTCTAGAGAAAAAAAAATACAATGGCTATGTGAAAATTGATATGACTTTTGTTAGAGGGAAGACAATGTACAGCCAAATTTTACATGACCTGAGCTATCAAAAGCCAAATATATGCAGAGTATTAAATCCAAAGAAAGGTTTTTCCATACATCCAGTGCAGTCTGTTTCCATACACTTCAATTGTTTTGTCAATATAGATGTTACAATTCTAGGTCGATGTTCTGCAGTGGATTGGTAGATCACACATAGAACATGTGGCTTATAGAATATGCATGTAGATATATGTAAAAACCTTTCTTTGGATTCGATTCTCTGATAATAGTAGCTGAATAATCCACAGCATTTGCAAAATATAAGTCCAGTAGAATGTGGCTGTACTGTACATTTGCTTTTGAGGATGTCAGTTGCTTTTTTTTTAGGTTTATGATTCATATAATACTTTTTGCAGGATATGAAATATGGAAGATATTAAGAAGAGATTAGAATTGAAGAATTCACATGTACAGATAAAGGTCAATATGCATACATTTTGTATTTTTAAAGTTTATTACATACATACCTATTGTTTGATTTCAGATTTTTTCAGGGTAACCATTCAGGGGCCTTTAGCAAACCAGAAAATTTGTTTGTGATTAAACAACTAATTGTTAAAGGGGCATTAGGTAAGATTAGATAAAGAGCTGACAGTTTTTGCTAAACTATTCAAAAAAAGTAGGGGATATTTGATTTTTAAGTGTTATTAAAGTCACCTAATGAAACTGACGAAGAAACAAATGACAAAATGAAATGAATTTCACATTCATCGATTTATTCCAAATGATCGTTAGACTAAGTAAGGCACAGACTGACCATTATAAGGGTAAAATGATACCCGGGGTCAAACAGCAAAGTTACCACAGCATCACAACCAAGTCAGTAACGTGTAAATCCTCCTCTGTTTGCCAAACAAGCATTGATCCGACGTGGCATACTCCTAATGAGACGTCTAAGGTCATTTGGGTCCAGATTGTCCCATTCCTGTTGCAACGCAGCAGCAAGTTCTTGGACATTGGCAGGACGTTGTTGACGTTGACGTAACCTCTGTCCAAGCATGTCCCAGACATGCTCGATGGGGGAGAGGTCGGGACTCAGTGCTGGCCAAGGTAATGTGGTGATGTTCTGTTGTTGGAGGTAACCTGTAACGATCCTGGCCCTGTGACATCTTGCGTTGTCATCCTGGAAGATGAAACGGCGGCCATGACGTCGTGCGAACGGCACAACATGGTCTGCCAAGATGTTGTCCCGGTAGTACTGGCCTGTAACACGCCCTGCAACAACATGTAAAGCCGTTCTTTCAGCAACAGTGATGCCTCCCCACACCATAACAGAACCACCCCCAAATCGATCATGTCTGATGACGTTAACGTCTTGGAAGCGCTCGTTTCGACGACGCCACACCCTCCTACGTCTGTCCAAAAAATCAACAGTGAACCTTGACTCATCTGAAAACATCACATTGCTCCAGCGTCGATTATCCCAGTGTTGACGATCCCTACACCAACGACGTCTTGCCTGAATGTGATGATCTCTCAAACAAGGGATCACGCGAGGACGTCGGGCGCGAAGGTGACCCCTATGCAGTCGATTCCGAATCGTCTGGCCACTCACTCTCACACCAGTGTCTGTTTGAAGACGAGCGCTGATCTGATTTGCTGTGATGACACGATTTCTCAAGGCCAAGGTACGGATAAATCGATCCTGGGCTTGAGTTGTCGCCCTTGGTCGACCTGAGCGTGGTCTGTCCTGTACAGATTGTGTATCACGGTATCTGGACCATAGCCTGCTTATGACAGACTGAGAAACATTCATCGTCCGCGCCACAACCGCCTGTGTTGTGCCGATCTGTAGCATGCCAAGGGCACGTAACCTTTCATTTTGGGTAAGCCGACGCATATCAAAATTTGTTTTCTGGTCACTAAAACAATTAAACTGATGTTTCCACCCACATTTTCATGTGGACGTATATTGTCGTCGCCCCTGTCCGTCCATCCGTCCACAATTTGTTTGTGGACACTCTACAGGTCACAATTCTTATCCGATTTTGACGGAACTTGAAATATAGGTTTATCTCCAAAAGATCTCGGCTGCTTTCGATATTGGCATGTATCGGTTCGAAACTTCATGGATTATGGCCCCTGTTTGTACGAAAAATCACGTTTTTAGCTTGTGGACCCTATAGAGGTCACAATTTTTATAGGCCCACATTTTCATGTGGACGTATATTGTCGTCGCCCCTGTCCAACGGATGTCCGGACGTCCACAATTGTTTGTGGACCCTCTACAGGTCACAATTCTTATCCGATTTTGACGAAACTTGAAATATAGGTTTATCTCCAAAAGATCTCAGCTGCTTTCGATATATCGGATCGAAACTTCATGGATTATGGCCCCTGTTTGTACGATAAATCACGTTTTTAGCTTGTGGACCCAATAGAGGTCACATTTTTTATCCGATTTTGTTGAAACTTGAAATGTAAGTTTATAACCCAAAGATCTCGGTTCCTTTCGATATTCGCGCATATCAGACCATAATTTCCTGAATTATGGCCCCTGATTTTACGAAAAATCGCGTTTTTAGATTGTGGACCCTATAGAAGTCATAATTTTTATCCGATTTAAAAAAACATATTATTATATCACCGTTAAACCGTAAGGACGACTGAGATCGAATTTCGTGAAAATCAGCCCAAAATTGATAGACAAAATGGCCGCTGTTCGTTCTCAAATAGCGTAAGAATATGGTATATCAAGGTTGTGGACCCTATAGAGGTCACAATTTTTATCCGATTTTGTTAAAACTTGAAATGTAAGTTTATAACCCAACGATCACGGTTCCTTTCGATATTCGCGCATATCAGACCATAACTTCCTGAATTATGGCCCTGATTGTACGAAAAATCACGTTTTTAGATTGCGGACCCTATAGAAGTCATAATTTTTATCTGATTTAAAAAAACATATTATTATATCACCGTTACACCGTAAGGACGACTGAGATCGAATTTCGTGAAAATCGGCCCAAAATTGACAGACAAAATGGCCGCTGTTCGTTCTCAAATAGCGTAAGAATATGGTATATCAAGCTTGTGGACCCTATAGAGGTCACAATTTTTATCCGATTTTGTTAAAACTTGAAATATAAGTTTATAACCGAAAGATCTCGGTTCCTTTCGATATTCGCGCATATCGGACTGTAACTTTCTGAATTATGGCCCCTGAGTGTACGAAAAATCACGTTTTTAGCTTGTGGAACCAATAGAGGTCATAATTTTTATCCGATTTAAAAAAACGTATTATGATATCACAGGTTACACCCTAAAAACAGCTGAGGTCGATTTTCATGAAAATCGGCCCAAAATGTACAGACAAAATGGCCGCCGTACGTTCTCAAATAGCGTAAAAATGTGGTATATCAAGGTTGTGGACCCTATAGAGGTCACAATTTTTATCCGATTTTGTTGAAACTTGATATGTAAGTTTATAACCCAAAGATCTCGGTTCATTTCGATATTCGCGCATATCGGACCGTAACTTCCTGAAAGATTGTCCCTGATTGTACGAAAAATCACGTTTTTAGCTTGTGGAACCAATAGAGGTCATAATTTTTATCCGATTTAAAAAAACGTATTATGATATCACAGGTTACACCCTAAAAACAGCTGAGAACGATTTTCATGAAAATCGGCCCAAAATGTACAGACAAAATGGCCGCCGTTCGTTCTCAAATAGCGTAAAAATATGGTATATCAAGGTTGTGGACCCTATAGAGATCACAATTTTTATCCGATTTTGTTGAAACTCGAAATGTAATTTTATAACCCAAAGTTCTTGGTTCCTTTCGATATTCGCGCATATCGGACCTTAACTTCCTGAATTATGGTCCCTGATTGTACAAAAAATCGTGTTTTTAGCTTGTGGACCCTAAAGGTCATAATTTTTATCCGATTTAAAAAAACGTATTATTATGTCATCGTTATATGTATGGTTTAAATTAGTAAAACGAACAAGCCTATTGAGTTTCAGCAAATTTCAGTTAATTACATCTAGAGTTATGGCCCTTGTTTCACTTTGTTGAATCTTGTGAACGCTCGAAGATAAAAGTTATCACCCAATCTGTATGAAATTCATATGCATCATTTATATTAGTGAAATGAAGAAGCCTATTGAATGTCAGCAATTTCTGTCAATTACTTCTAGAGTTATGGCCAATGTTTTACTTTGTTGAACCTTGTGAACATTCGAACGACAAAAGTTATCATCCGATCTGTATGAAATTTATATGCATTTTTTGAAGATTACTTCCAGTGTTATGGTCCTTGTTTTAGTTTTTAGAACATTGTGAAACCTCAAACAACGAAAAATTATAATGTCATCTGTATGAAATTGTCTATTAAATGCCCCTAATTACCTACAACAGAATAAATATGCGACAACCCTTGTCGACCGCTCGGACGATTTAGCTGCTGTGGGCATATGTTTTGTTGCCAGGCAACCTATCTTAAATGTTTTAAATTCATTAGTCAATTTCAAAAAATAAAGGTTTCTGAAAAATTGGTGAAACAATTAATGATCGATGCCCGAAAAATATATTATAGCAGAGAAATGAGACGTCCGGTTTCTTACATAGACATAACAAACAAAAGAATGGACTGGAAGTCTATACTATTGTATGGTATCAGTATTCAGAAATGAAAATGGTGTTCTTCATATTTTTCAGAAATAATGAGTTGCTATCTGATAAAGGTGGGAAGGGTGGACTTTATTTCGAGCCCTTCATTTTGCAGACTAAAAGGCAAAATATTTTTTTTCCCCAAAATTATATTAATTTTTAATCGCTTTATCTGTCTGCCTAAGAAATCTGCCCCTACCCACTGCTCATACGGCTTTGCAAGGAACAGAAATAAAATTGTTTAATTAATATAGATATCTCCTTTATTAGGTAGATATATATATGCATATATAGAAGTAATTAGAAGATTCCATTTGAAGTAGTTGATATACGTAAAATAAAGTAAATGTGTCCATTCTAGATAATTATTTTATTGCTGGCATGTTTCATACAAGTAATGTCGTTTACTTTGAAAATTGTATGAAACATGTCAGCAATAAAATAGTTATCTAGAATGGACACATAACAGAGAGATTATCTATCACCAGGGCCATAACTAGCTCAGAGCAACGAGGGGAGCTGGAAGTGTTCTCAGGGGTGCTGTAAAATTGACGGACAATGCATATCTATTGTTTTTATGGTTGACAATTTTTTCACAGTGGGGGCAAAACTTTTTGCAGGTGGGGCTTTGCCACACCCCCCCCCCCCCCAATTACGGGCCTGTCTATCACTGTACCTTACAAAACATACAAGGGTGGAGAATGTTTTGTTATTTTTAAAGCATGGGACCGAGTTTATTACATAATTGTTAATGATATTATCATGGACGATTTTGCTGTTGGTGGGCATATTAGGGGCCCAAATTATCCCTCCATGTTTTTTTCTCAGTGAATTTTCATAATTTCTCTAGAAAGAAACTAAGTACATTCAGATTAGATAAAAAATATAAATAAAGAAAACGAAGGTCTTATATCCCTTAAAGTGTTGCTGTTAAATTCATCAATGACATTATCAGCAAGATCAATTGAATGTCATTTGGAGAATGATGTGTTCTTCACTTCTGGTGGACTTTTGAAATAGTTGTGCTATTCTGAAAGTGCTTTAGGGTTAACAAGACACATTTATATTGGCCTACAACTTTTTTTCTAAATTTATGTTGTCTGAAATAAATTGTCAAATTAGCTTATGGCTGAACACTCCCTTGATAAAGTCTTGCTTATTGTGTTGTAAAGCATAGTCTACTTTGACCAAAGATTAAGGTAAAATTTAATTGATTTAGTAGTTGATCATCTAGTATTTTCACCTGCCATCTTTGCTTCTGCTTCACGTTGTTTATTTACTTCTTACTGTTTTGTTTAAGATGTTTGTCCTACCAGGAATAACAATGCAACAGTTCGTTTTTACATTTTATATATCATAGCCGGATACATGGATACAAGCATAGTACAGATTACAATACTAAAGTCATTCTCAACCACTAGCCAGCCAGACTCGATGGGTGAGTCTGCTGATAGAAATTGCTACATCTTTTCCCTTCTGGAATCAAGTTGCTGTCTGGCGATTGCTCACAAATATGATAGTTTTGTAGCTTGGGTTTTGGTCAAATATGATGTAAATAATTAGAGAGATTGGTTAATTGAGCCAAATTACGTCATAACCCACCCTTAGATGGTAATGGAAATTTACTGGAGAAACTTCCCACAAGATATATGTTATCAACCTAGAATTGAATGTTTAGCACATTATGACTCTTTTTTTATATAACAATATGTCATTCATTCATTAAGTTGATTTAAGTACATACTACATGTATGTGAATCTAATAATTTGCCAAAGATATTAATTAATACAATATAATGCCATCATTTTTCTCTATTCCTTGTCTATAAATTTGAAAACAATGTCGCAACGACTGAATTGATCTCTGACAAAGCCTATTGATTTTTAGGGGGTTGGGTGGCCGAATGGTTAACTCGTGAGGGTTGTATCATAAGGTCTGTCATTGAGTCAATTGGTGTAGTTGTGATTCCCTTCTTGTAGGGTCGCCTGTCCAACCTCATGGGTTTTCTCCCACTGCTAAAAGAAATAAAATTGAACTATATGTTAGTCCCAAAATGACCTAGTTTGTGTCCAGCGGACATTAAACCCTATCTCTCTCTCTCTCTTTCTCTCTCTCTCTCTCTCTCTCTCTCTCTTGATTTCTAATGATATTTCAGATTAACTTCTAGTCGAGGATTAGGAGGTTTTGTTCTGAAGTTAAGTGCTGACAACAATTATCTGTTCTTGGTCAGATGATGACGATAATTATCTTTCTAAAATATTTTAGTTTTCTTAGTCAGATGGTCTCTGATTGTACGAAAAATCATGTATTTAGCTGGTGGACACTCTAGAGGTCACAATTTTTATCCGATTTTAATGAAACTTAAAATGCATGTTTATAGCCCAAAGATCTTGGTTCCTTTTGCTAGTCACGCACATCAGACTGTAACTTCCTAGATTATGGTCCCTGATTGTACAAAAAAAAATCGCATTTTTAGCTTGTAGGTCCTCTAAAGGTCACCATTTTCATCTGATTTTAGAAACTGTTTGAATATATCATTAGTACAGCATAATGAAGGTTGATTTTGATTTTCGTGAAAATCCGAACAAAACTGCCTGACAAATTGGCCGCTCCTTGAATGCAAATAGTGTAAAAGTATGTAATGCCAAGGTTGTGGACCCTTCAGAGGTCACAATTTTTGTCTGATTTTTGATGAATTTTAAAATATTTGTTTATATCCCCAAAATCTTGGTTCTTTTCGATATTCGCGCATTTCAGACCATAACTTCCTGGATTATGTCCCCTGATTGTACAATAAATTGCTTGTTTTTTTTAGCTTGTCTTCTGTCCATCTCTTGCAAAATATAGGTACATCTTGCATAGCAACCGCTGGTTGAATTTATAATCCAGGTAATTACCACCAGTTGTGTCATTTTGGCTTATAAATGGTTGCCTGACAACCTAGCTTTTTCAGAACTGAACACAAAATGATCAGGAATCTAAATTCCAGTGGAACTTTTCCGGTTTTAATTACCTTTCAAGCTAGGCTTGTTTCTAACATGATATAAAGAAATCTAAACAACATCTCCCATATAAAGATGAAGACAAAACATAAAACGATCATAATGGAACTTTGTTTATTCTGCCTGTTTGACTTAAAGGAGCTAATTCTCTTTGATTTGGGTCAAAATGGAGTATTTAATTGTGTTGATATGATGAGGTTATTTTGATTAGTGAGTGGATAAGCTCTATGTTATTAGATTATTGTTTTGAACTAGGAAGCAGCGGAGGTTGGTTTGTTTTACTGAATTTAGTTTCATTTTTGGCTCCCTGTGTCGACACAGGAATATATAGTCGATAATATCTCAACATCAACATTGGCCGTAAAATTTTGCACAAAGACGATTGTCAGTCCACAAGACAAATCAGCACATAAAATCCAATGAAATTGACATTTTTTTTTTTTGACCAACATCAAAGTTGTCTAGCCGTTTTAATGTCTCAGCAGAATATTGATTAGATCAGAAATGTTAACTATTTATTTTATATATTCCATGAAATATATTTTTATTTGATTCATTGATCATTATACAACAGCACAATAAGATTTTATCACATTCTTATTTAATACAATATCTTTTATGATCCTTAGCTAGGTATATACATGTACTGTATAAATATGCAATTAAGGCAAGAACATATTGTTAGTACTATTAATTAGATTAATGTCATGCTATGATTAATTATATCATAAGGCAATATGTTTTTGCAGTTCTGTACCCTTCAGCATGAGGTCATCAATTATTCTCTTCTGTTGGTCCATCCTCACTTTTCTTGTCAACACAATACAACGGGAAGAAATCTGGCTGATTTCTATATAGTTAGTCCTTTGACTGAATAGAGTTTTAATCAGATTTTTCTGAAACTGTTAGGAAACTTGTATTATGACAACACAAGGATCCCTATTTTCATTTCGGCGAAATCAAATTAATGTTTTTAGACCCTTTCTTGACCAACTGTTTGCAGTTCTTGTCCGTGCAATAAAGGCTACAGTTTATATCAGAATTTTCTGAAACTTTTAGGAAAGTTGTATGATGACTAGTCAAGCAGTCCCAATTTCAGTATGTCAAAATCTGATTAAATGACTTAGAGTTATGCCTTTTTTGGGTCGAAACTTGTTCAAACTGCATGTAATGCTAGTCAGCACATGCAAGAGGCTAGAGTTTTTTTCATCAGATTTTTCTGAAACTTTCACATTGCAGGGGATGGGGGCGGGGGCGGATACAGGAATTGTGTAAGGAGTAGGGGGGCAAATGAGTATGTTGCCGATGGAATGAATTTTTTGACCTTTTGCTTGCTATTTTTCACAATATAAACCCCTGCTAAGTAAACCAAACAGTGCAATTTGTTACATTTAAACAGTTTGTGACAATGAGATATACAAAAAGAACAAAACCCTGAGCATTCCCAGCCAAACAGATTCTTTCTAGCTCTTTGAAGCTTGATATATTATACAAATATACTTTTTATATGCCCACATTGAAATATGGTCATATATTGTTGTTCCCCCCCCACCCCCTGTCCGTCCGTCTAAATGCTTAAGTTAATATCCGATTGATATTAAATTTATACACAGTATTTAAGGTCATAAGACGAAGAAGCCTATTGATTTTTACCAATTTCCGATAATTACTGCCAGAGTTATGGCCCTTGATCTCTTTGAGATATCTTGTGGATGCTCTATAGGCTGAAGTTAATATCCGATTCATGTTAAATTTATACACAGTGTTTAAGGTCATGAGACTAAGAAGCCTATTGATTTTCACTGATTTACGATAATTACTGCCAGAGTTATGGCCCTTGATCCACTTTGAAAAATATTGTAGATGCTCTAGAGGCTACAGTTTTTAACAAATTCATTTCAAATTTGTTGTGCAGCATTGGGGTCATCAGAGGACGCACCGCTTTCTGAAAACATTGTGAATACCATTGTAAGAGACACTAGTTTTTAACAGATATTTTTAAAAATTTGGTGTGAAGCATAGGGGTCATGAGAGGTTGAACTCTTTTCCAAAAACCTTGTGAACATGATAGAGCATACAGTTTTTAACAGATTTTTTAAAAAATTGTGTGAAGCATTGAGCAGTTATGCCCCCTTTTCTGTTTAATCTGCTGTGATGTTTTATTAGATACCGTGCATGGCTACTTTTCTGTATGATGACCCCACTACTTGGAGATTTAGTACTTCAGTAATTGGCTTTTCATTTATTTGGCCAAAAGGCTGATTTTAATTGGTTGGTGAGGAATCTCTAATGATATCTGTGAGGCAATGCTGGAATTTAACATGATCTTTTGAATTATGAGAATACATTAGAATTTTGGACAAATTAAATATTAAGAGTAAATAAATGTATAATATGGTCTAAAGATTGTTGTATTTCAAGCATCCTTCTCCCAGAAATTCAAGGTGTATCAAACAATCAATGTTTTCGAGGGGAAACATTGGAATTTAGTATATAAACGTACGTCAACAGTTTCTTTTGATCTTTAAATGATAATCTATCTGCACAGTAACCATAAATGAAATGTTTATGTAAAATATAAACTTATTACTTGGTTGCTTATTCTATCACATTATTACCTGTTATGCAATTTTATTCCACACATAAGTCCATGTGAATTTATTCTTTAAATTTCACAGCTGAAAATATATGTCCAATTTGTGCTTTTTTTGTCACAGATTCTACATGTATATATAAGATAAATACTCATTCTCGTTTATGTTGGAAAAAGTAAACCCTTGGGACAAAATCCTCCATGACACAAAGACTTCAACCTATGGCCCCACTGTCTTCCTTTTGTACAAGATTTCTTCCCTAAGGTTATACAATTCCCAGAATAATCTCAGAGATGTAGTTTTATCCCTCATATAACTCATACATAGAAAATTTGAGTGTTCCTGAAGTGGACTTTTAAAAGAAGAATCCATGATTGACAATAACCTTAATAAATATGATTATATACCTCAGTAACCAGCAGGCACCATTAATTAGGGTACATTAGACTACATTTTATTTATCAATGAATATTCTGTATGAATGGATCTTTTGGTAGTTACGATAGAACATTTTACTTTCCCTAAAAGTGGGATGAGTGGATAGAATATGTCACCACACACAATGCTCAATTAAAATCAGTACATTGAGAATTTGTACATCTTGTTTTTGTTATGTGAATTGGAGATTGAAGAATATAGATGCTTAGATCCATGCCATTTCTGCAAGTACCAGATTTTGCCATTATACTGAAAGAACAGCCCGATCACAAAAGCTATTACTTAGGAATATTTATTTATGATGAATATCCACAAAAATGTTTTCTTCTCACATTTCTCTTTTAGACACATATATTATAAACTATCCTATTAATGGATTACAGATATGTTACTGGATGATATGAATGATATCCTGGCATGGTTTTCAGCTTCTTGTCTTTCATATACACGGCACACATATTACTCTTGTTTTACATCTTTCTCTACTTAGTCTGAAAAAAGAAAAAGAAATCTGTTTTATTAATGACAAACAAGAACAGAATTATATAAAAGTACAACTTGTGGCCTAAATGGCCGAGGTAGGAATGATGACATATTCTTAAAGACTTCAGCCAATAAAGACTTGGATGGAATTTCATTTCATTCATATTCAATGAAGACGCTATTATGATCAGTGTATGTAGCAATTCCATAAGAGGTGATGAGGATTACTTGGTCAGAATGAATGTCCATCCTAGAGTTTTTATCTAAAAAATGTTGATATCTTTTTTGTACGTGACGTAGTCATGGCAACAGCCAGGGGTGACAGTTTTTTTAGCTGCCAAAAAGAGAGAGGGGGGAGAGAGTGCCTGGGGAATCGAAGGATATAGTTGATTGTTATTTCGCGCTTATAGTTACAGTAGAATGTATAGATAGAAAAATAATAGCTGTGTACTTTTATGATGTTTATCGAAAAATAAATAGATCATCTAATAACTTTTGTGTTCAGTATTCGGAACATTACTTTTTTCCTTATGTATTAGATGTTGATGAAAATAAGTTTGATATTGACATTTAACACTTTACTGACCCCTGTCAACTCTTGTCCACATTTCAGATAGCCGAATGCATCGTTCCTAGCATAATGAGACTTACTTCTCTTACAAACAGACAATTTTCCCTTGTTTGTTTACTTCCTTTCTCTTTGTCATTTTGCAAGTTAAAAATCGCAACAAATTTATGCTAAAACAGTGATATGTCTTAACGAAAAATTTCTTAAAATCACTCTACAGATCAGAGTTTCTAGATTTCTTTCAAGCAACATAAATTTATATGCTTCCATAAAGCTTAACCTCTTTGATTGGGATCAGATTAAAGTGTTGAATTTTGCTAATTGGGTGTGTTATGAAAATTTCATTTTTATATGTCCACATTGAAATGTGGTTGTATTTTGTCAGCGGTCCAGCGTCCACAATTGCTTGTGGACACTCTAGTGGCTGAAGTTAATATCTGATTTATACACAATGTTTAAGGTCTTCAGACGAAGAAGCCTATTGATTTCCGATAATTACTGCCAGTGTTATGGACCTTGCTCACTTTGAAAAATCTTGTGGATGCTTTAGAGACCATAATTATCATCTGATTGATTTTATATTTATACACTGTGTTTACAACTATATATAATCGTTTCGATTGACTTTAGTTTATTACACAAAGTGTAAGGTCTTTTCAATGATTTTTGATAACTTGAAGAATTAAATCCATGGTATTAAATGTTTTGTATACTAAACGTTAGCATGGGCCAAACAGATTCTAATGATTTTCTGATAATTACTTAATGTGTTTTTACTCTTAATCAGATTTTAGTGTATTATAAATGTTTCATTACCGACAAAAATAAAAATGTGCGACAACTCTTGTTGACTGCCTGGACGATTTAGCTGCTGTGGGTGTATGTTTTGTTGCCTGGCAACCTATCTTTTTTAACTTTTCGTTAGATCATGATCAACTATAGAAAAGCGATAGATGAAAGATCTACTGTTTTATACACAAGTTTGGATAGATAAGGTTGGAGATATAATACATGTATCTTTGGAAAGATAAATGATTCTGCAAACACTATAAAATACAAAGTATATCAGGGACAGAACCCATCTCTCAAAAATAACTAACACATCAAATTTATCCAAATCAAAGCAGTCCTATCATTTTATAGCCCAAATTATCTCTGGGCCAAATGTGACAAATATTTGTACAGTATGGTGCCAAAGGCTATACACGATTTTTGTATATAGTACCATTGGTTGAGAGGAAACATGACCTTCACTTTGTATTTTAAATAATGATATCCAGGGCCTCGTTTCTCAAAATCTTGACTAAAGATAAAATCCAAATTTTAGTAGATACATCAATTTTGATTGGCTAAGCACGAAAATCAATCTAATATTATCCAATCAAATTACTAAAATTTACGTGTTGGCATGCACACAGTAAAAGATCCCTTGATGGTTGGCACTGATTTCTGGGCAAAATTTCCTTCATAGCACACTACATTGCGTATGTCCGTCTTCATTAGCACAATTGGTGTAGAACAGTAGGAAGTAACACTCCATTTCAGTTCATTATATGTCATTACATGAACTGCATTCATGAACACGTAGGCAGCCAGTTACTAATTGCGCGATGGATGTTAATTTCTTTATACTGATAATCGTGGTGGTCGAAGAGAAGACAATTTGGACTACAATGATTGAGTCTACCAAACTAACTGTTTTGTATAGTAGAATTGCAAAATCTACTTTTATCCATGGCATCAGGTGTTTTAAACATATAATTGAGCAATAGGATTATCCTTATAATGAATCAAACAAAGCTGTCATGAAATACTGAACAGTAAACATTTAGATATGTCCGTACACCCATCCAATCCAATTTCTTTGGCAAACAGTAAGTTTTTAACTAACACAGAACATAACTTTTACCTAATGAAACTACAGAATGTATTGGAAGTGTTAAGAATGTGCTACACTTATATTACTATTTGTGATGATAACTACAATTGCTTTATAAATATCTTGCCTGCACCTACCAGTGGCTCAGTGAGAACAGGGGTTGGTTAGGAATTCTTCGTTCGATCCCAGTATTGGGATATTCAGACGTGGTTCCCCCTTGTCAGTGGTGCAGGAAGGAGGGCCTAGTAAGGAATATCATCTAGTCGTTCGGAACTGACAATAAACCTGTGGTCTCATGCACACAATGGTATGCAAATGTACTAAGCAGCAAAAGAAACGTCAGGTTGGTATGTTACTCTGAAGAGACGCATTGCATAAAACTTGCCAAATGTATTTATTGTATATTTGTGACCACATCTCCAACTTTACCTGAGCAATAAAGCTCCTTCCCAAACACAGAATTTAACCCAGGAAATGTTCTCAAAACCCAACCTGACTTCTGAGATGGTAATGTGTTCTCCATGATTTTCATGTAACTCATGCTGCACGTGCTGTTCACTGGGACCAACCCTATAAAATGCACCCCCATACCTGGTTGAATCATTCATGCTACAATGTCAGCAGCATGCCACGACTCACGACAGCTCAGAGGAACCAGGTGCTTGGAAGACTCGATGCTGGCCACACTGCCCAAGCCGTTGCCAATCCCTTCCAGGTCAATGTTCGGACCATCTACAGGCTTAAGCAACGTTTTCGGGCCACCAACACCACAGATGATCGCTCTCAGACCCCACGTCATACCACATTTTGCATGTCATCAAAACAACATTTTCCAGCATGACAACACCCGTGCCCACACCGCCAGAGTTACTCGGGACTTTCTACAGCAGAACGATGTCAACGTTATGCACTGGCCAGCCCTTAGTCCAGAGTTAAACCCAATTGAACATCTTTGGGATGAAATTCAGAGGAGACTTAATAACGTTGTACCGGGGACCAAACACAGCCGAAGGATTGCACCAGGCTTTTCTGAGTGTGGTTCCAGGTGCCAATGGCATTCATCAATCGTCTGGTCCACTCCAGGTACAGACGCTGCACTGCTGTTATTGACACTCATGGTGGACACACCAAATACTGATGTATAGAGTGTGTACAGACTCTAAACTTTCTCGTAATGTCTTGGAATTGTAATGAATTAATCACTAATGTGTCAACATACTGTTCACAAAAAATTGCTTTGATCCATTTAGTAAGTCATTTTCTAGAATGATTTGATTAAAGTGCCTCTCTGATTTTGAAATCATACTGACGTTTTTTTTTTTGCTGTTTAGTATAAAAGAAATCTGGACAGTTTGAATTTTCTAAAGAGAAGACAGAAACACCATTGTCGGGGCAGTATTTCACTCTTAGCATACTGCATTGTGTATGCTCATCTTCATTAGCAAGATTGGTTCAGAAATGAAATGAAATGGGGTTTAAGATCCTATTGGTAAGTGCGCTAGCACCTTACTCTTTGAGCCATCTTGCCTGTTTATAATTTCTGATGTAATGTCCCTCAACACAGAAATCTTGTGCTCTGTCATCAATCCCATCTGTCCACTCGTCCATAACCATATGATTGAAATTTATGCACTGTGTTTATGTTCATGAGACAAAGGAGTGATGATTCCCCATGATCACTGTTGGAGTTATTACTTTTGACCAATTTGGAAAATTTTGTGGACACCCTAGGGGCTAAAGTTATCATGATTGACTTGAAATTAATACACATTGTTTATGTTCATGAGATGAATAATCCTATTGTATTTCAACGATTAATTACTGTCAGAGATATGGCCCTTCATCAATGTGAAATTCTATGGATACTCTAAAAGCTAAAGTTATCGTCTGATTAATTTGAAATTTATATCGTGTTTATATCCATGAGATGAAGAAGTCTATTAACTCAAACTGTTAAAGTTGTATGTTTACTTGTAATAATAATAATAATTGTTTATTCTCAACTATATGTTCAAGCATGGGTATGGAAGTTACAACAAACATTTCACATTGTGATGCATAACAATATCTAACTAAATATCTTACAAAATAACATTAATTTTCAAGACGTGTGGTACATATTAATGTTGATGTAATCGTCAATATTTAATGTTGCGTATCACTTAACAAAGCTAAATTTATATTCCTCCCACTGCTAAAGACCCCTACGCACAAGCGAATTATTGAAATAAAATTGAACCATGTGTTAGTCCCGAAATGACCTAGTTTGTGTCAAGTTAAACCCCATTTCTCTCTCGCTCTCTCTCCAACATTTTATATACACTCTTCATTATTAATTAGTATATTAAGTTGAATTGAATCAGTTATATGAGGTTTGATAAGTGGTGAGAGACATTGTTGTCTCAAATTATCATAAAATATGTGATTAATATAATAAATGTTAGGAAGAACCAGAAGGCAACCAATTTTTAACTATACGTTTAATTAGTGCTTATGGACCCTCATGTTAGTGTTATGCTAACATTATTTACAAAATAATAAATACATGTCAGCCTTTGTGG